ATCTACGGAATTACAGACACTTTCTATAAAATCGTCCATGTAAGTATTTGTCCGGATCGCGTGTACAGCCTCCGGAAATTCGGCTTGGAATTCTGATGCGTTTCTATTTAAAACGTAAATAGCAGTGGAAGGACTGGAACAGGCGCCAAACATCATGGAAGACATACGGTAAACTTTAATCAGACCTGTAGGGTTCTCGCGCCAAATAAAACGCTGGGCGTCCCTGTCCTGTTCACGAATCTTCACCTGCGGGAACATCTCCTTAATATCCGCGGTTAAGGCTATCTTCCCCTCCCTAAAACGCATCAGGATACCAAGCAGAGGCTGTAAAAGGTCCGGTCCAGTCAGAAGCATGGAATTCAAGGATACGCCGTGAATTTTCGCGGCGGCGTCGTGCACAACGCGGAGCTTGCCGGGCTTGTTGGGATTTACCACACCAAAATGAGGCAAATACCAACAAACTGATTGCGGCGCAACTCCAGTGCATTCCTCGGCGTAGCCTTTATTGATCATGTCCTGAATATTTTGACAGTACCGCAACGCGTAATCAGCATCCCTTGACATCTTCTTTTCGAGAGTTTTAAATCTAGAAAATGCCAACGGATAGCTATCAGGTACCTCGGGGTACTCCATTTTCCACAACAGACCGGCTTCGAAACGCCCATCTGCCCGCCGTCGAACCGTTTGATCAAGAATCTCAAGAGCGCGCTTATCATCAGCACTCCTTGGCTCGTGTTTTGAAATACCGATCGAATCCAATCTATATTGTTGTTTGATGAGGGCTTCTAAGTCGTGCCGCGGGTCATCACCTTGGCGCTCGGACACCGTGTAAGTGAAGTCTGTAACCCTAGTTCTGCTACTTGAAAATCCGAACAACACCCATCCAAGGGGAGTACGTATGGCGACTGGCTGCGATCTAGTACCCTTCCTAATATCGGTCGCAGTTATGAGGTGCCAGTTATCGATGCCAATGATGAGTGTTGGCTTAGCTTCGTCGTAGCATAGCTTATCAACTAAATCCGCTAAGTAAGAATAAGAACATACTGTATCGCGAGTAACCGATTGATTAAGTAACCCTAAGTTAGAGATAGAGCGTGCGCCCTTTATAGCAAAAGTTTGAGTTGTGAAACGACCCTTAATTTGAAAATCTATATATTGCACAGCACTATCTCTCGATAGACCACCTACGCAGTCTAAATGTACACGTCCTTCGGGGCCTTCGGCTCCTATTTGTGAGGCTATGCTAGAATCGATGAAAGTCGCTGTCGAACCATCGTCCAATAGAGCAAATGTGTCTACGCTACCAGCCGGGCCGGACACCGTGACTGCCACTATTTTTAATAAAGGACGCTGTGACGGATTAACAAAGATTGAAGTAGTGTTAATATTTACCTGGTCTGTATTGTTTGATGTTGGAGGCACAGAGACATCATTAGATTGTGTATTAGACTCGTTTGTGTGTGCCGCCAAAACAAAATTTGAGTTGTGCAGAAGTGTATGATGCTTACGATTACACTCCGCTATTGTGCAACCATCCTTATTTTTATTACAAAACTTAAAACTATGTGGAACTTTTTGAAGACAACGATAACAGATTTTATTTTCTTTGATAAAATGCCACCTGTCATCGATTGTCAAAGATGAAAAATTTTGACAATTTGACAAATTATGTTTGTTTTTACAAAGTAAACAAATTTTCTGGTCAACTGAATTATTTGACGATTTACGCTTGGGAATTTTTGGGTTCGATCCTAAGTTCGATTCCAAAACCGCATGCAATCTCTGGTTGTGAGCAGGGCCTGCACGAATTTTTGGGTTCGATCCTAAGTTCGATTCCAAAACCGCATGCAATCTCTGGTTGTGAGCAGGGCCTGCACTAAAATCAGTTATCGTGCCAAATCTCAACACAAAGTCTACCTCACGAGTAAGGAAATGTGAAAGCATTTCAACTCTAGCCCACCCCGTCATTTCATGTTTTTCAGCAAAGTCAAACCAACGTGTACGTAATAGTGGAGATAACTTACTAAGCAATGCGCCGAACAACTCCGGTGAACGCAAATAATCGCTATGTTTTAATAAATTGGCAACTTCTACACAATTTCGTACACGTGTGGCGAAAACATTTAAATCCTTAACATCAGGTCCAACCTTGGGCAAGGCTCTCACCGCGCTGACCTCTTGTAACACGATTTGCTCAGGCCTGCCGAAGCGGCGATCTAAAGCGTCAATGACGTCGTTGGCTCGGTGAGCCATCACCAATAACATACTTACTGCATCGCGCGCTATGCCTCTTAGAGATTGATTCAGGCGTGCGAGATTATCTAATTCCGAATATGATCCTGCAGAATCCTGAAAAGCACGTTTAAAGGAAAGCCAATCCAATGGAGATTTTCCATCGAAAATTGGCAGATTAATTGAACATTTATTGTTAATAGGACCGCTATTTTTGCTAAAAGATTTCAGGGCTTCAATAAGTTTTCCGACGGTGTTATCCTCTCTCTGAATATTAATGGCAGTGGCCCTGTCACCTCCGCAGGAATTGGGCTGAGGCAACTGTGTAGGACTCGGTACTGCAATATTGGGCGAAAAAATAACATTACCACCTTGTGGAAACTCCTGAGAACACAAAAATAGATGATTATTGGTCCCTACCTGACGTCCATCATTGTTGGACTTTAAAAAATGTTTGACGAGGGATGGCTCTCCGTCACGATGTGATGTGACAGAGGGAGCGATATTGCCTAGCCATTGCTCGATATCGGCACGATTCCTCTCACTGCGACGTGATCCGCGATCACTATACTCTGCCTCGATTGCCGCTAGCTCAGCCTGATGTTCGGCCTCAGCAGCTTCTATTTGTGCGCGCATAGCGGTCATCTCCAATTGAGCGAGATAACGTTTATGCTGTGCCTCCGCTGCGAGTTTTCTCGCGGTAACTGTAGCGAAAGAGCGACTTGTGCGTGTGGTTGCTACCGACTGTGATGTGTGTGAGCGGATGTCAAACGGTACCTGATGTTCCTCCGCGGGCTGTGTTGCGGCTACTTCAGTATTTGATGCTTGGCCATCAGACATATTTTCTTGCAGTTTACTATTACCATTTATTACCATTATGATTGATGCTGGTTCGAATAATATATGCGAAAGGACCACTTGTAAACGACTGATAATACTATTTAGCCGTTATTTTTTAAAGAATTTTTAGCAAATAAAAATACGTCTTTTTCTTGTGACATATATTGCAAAAAACCAAAGGAATCGATAATGAACAAAAACATTATAAAAAATAATTATAAACCATAAACAAAAATGTACCAAAAAGGTCCCATTCAGGGACAGCTAGTATGATGGCTTATCTCACTCTTAGGTCTCGGATAACGGACTCTAATAACGGTTCAGCGCATATAATAAAATGTTTTACCTGAAAATAAAACACTCAATATACAGAAACCTTATCGGAGACCTAATATTAAATACTGCCTAATGACTAAACTCTACTGACTCCAGTGAGATAGAATATGGCAAGTGAAACCACGGCTGCTGCACCACCGCTGCACGGTGACAAGCAAAAAATCTTAGGTCTCGAATAAGGTATCTGCATATAAAAACTATTTTATTTTCTGGTAAAACATTTTATTACCTCATATCTTCAGAACCACCGAACAGATTTAGATAATTGAGGTATCTTTAGATTTGTCTTAATAACCTGAATGTTCTTAGATAATAAAAAATTAAATATTGATTATCATTACCGATATTCTAATAAGAATAATACAATGATAAGTTTAAAAATATGGACTTTGTTTTTTAACTTCTAAACCAACCTGGTAATTTGTCTAACTAAAAATAACATAAATAAAATTTATGCAACATCATACATACTGAATACCTAGGTAATAAGACAAAACCTTATATCTTTATGCATGCCTCTATTCATGTAAAAATGTAATAATCACGAAGCTTATAAACAATATTATTATAATTATAACAAAAAAAAAAACAATTTCAAAAATAATATGTAATAATAGGGGTAAAACAGTTCTGAGTATGCATAATTGTATTACATACAACTTAAGCCCCCACACATGCAGTATTTTAAACACGCAGACGACGCGCGTTTCAGGAACGCACGTTCTCTGCGCCGTAGATACGGATTTTTCGGTTTTTATAGTGTCGAACGCGCGTAAAACGCAACACAAACGCACATGTAAACTGCATGCGTTTATTAAATCAAGAAAAAAAATAGTTACTGTAATTTTGGATAAAAATAAAAACAGATTTCGGACAGCTAAAGATATTATAGTACATACAGCCAGCCCCCTAATTGTCTAATTTTAAATCTATTGTATCACTCTGTCGATGCATTATGGAGAACAGTTTCGAGCTAATAACAAATATCATCGTTTCAAACACGAGACAGGATTAAACGGACTCGAGTCCGAACGAAACGCAATTCGAATGTATTGAACTAGGTACATCACTTTAATATATAAGTTTTTCTACCTTGTGAATCGAAACGTAAAGATCGATCTATCAAAAATCGATATATTCTTCTAACATTATTGGGGCATTATCGATCTATTAAATCAGTAAAAAAATCATTACTGTGATTTTGGAAAAAAAATAATAACCCAGATTTCGGACAGCTAAAGATATAACAGTACATGCAGCCAGTTCTCTTTAAGTTATTGAGGAAAATAAAAGATAGTTTTTAATAGACTAAAAGTAATGATCAAGTTTCTGTTTCTGTTCATTTTCCGATGACATTGAAATCGATCCGAGTGGAAAAAATTTATACGAAAAAGCAAAATTGATTTCGATTAAATCGAATCAATATCTCAAATCGGAATACCAACTTAATGAATGACAGAGTACTTTTATATATGAATGAAAATTATTATTCTATGATGAAAATATGTGGAAACTTGGGAAATTTTAGGCAAACAAACAATTTGAAAACGTTAGAAATGTTTTTTTTAGCTGTACAGCTGTGCGAATATTGTTTTTATTATTTCATCATCATTATACATTCTGTGATTTAGTCAAAATTTAGACAAGAGAAAATGCAATTTCAAAAAGTTACTCATGTTTTATTTGATTTAGATGGGTTGATAATAGGTAAGAAATATTAAACACATTGAAACTTTAAAGATTTATGGTTACTAGACATACTAAAATAAAAACTGTGAATTAAATTCATTTATTAAATATGAATTACAGATTCTGAAATCATATACACGGAGGCTTTTACCACAGTATGTGCAAAGTATGGAAAAGTATTCACATGGGAATTGAAATCTAGTTTATTAGGTTTTCAAGGCCCTGAATGTGCTGAAAAGATTATAAAAACCTTGGAACTACCCATCACAAAAGAAGAATTTATTGCAGAATGTTGGAAACTCTACACTGCTTTGTTCCCTAATGTCAAAGTAATGCCAGGTATTATTTTAAATTATTGCTCTCTGAATTTTATATGATATTATAAAAGTGTCAGTTGATAAGGACAAGTGTTACTATTATTTAACAGGAGCCAAAAGATTAGTTAAGCATCTTAAAGATAATGGAGTACCAATTGCATTAGCTACAAGCTCTAGCCAAGAAAGCGTTGAAATGAAGATGCAGCACCATAAAGAATTGCTGGGTATGTTCCATCACCTTACAATGGGCACATCGGATCCTGAAGTGACAAAAGGAAAGCCTGATCCAGCTATATTTCTTGTATGTGCTTCACGGTTTCCAGATAAACCAAAGTCAGAAAATGTAAGTATTATTTTTTTTCAAATATGGTTGTTATCAAACTCCTTTTTTAATTAGCAAGAAGAAAGAACATGTTTTTACAACAAACAACATTTAGTGTGAATTGTTAATTTGTTATATGCAAAGAAAAACATCAAAAAAGCTGCAATTAAAAATGATAAAACTCCACAATATTTTTGAGTGTTTTGTCAGAGTGAAGAAGTGATATTATAAATTTTAACTTTATAAATTGTTCAATGGTTCACAAAGATTCCAAAAATCTAATTTTTGATTCATTTCTTCTCATATTGTTTTTAAAAGGAAAGCTGTTAAGTATTTGATGTCCTTGTAGTCAAGGATTACAGAGAAGTTTTACAATAATAATGTAATTGGGCCTTTGGATTATCTCATGTTGTTTCAGTGCTTGGTGTTTGAAGATGCAGTAAATGGTATCAAAGCAGCAAGAGCAGCTAATATGCAGGTGGTGGTTGTCCCAGATCCTCGAATAGATGCTGCAGAACTAAAAGATGCCACATTAGTTCTCAGGTCATTAGAAGATTTTAAACCTGAACTATTTGGTCTACCTCCATATCCTTCATAAAAATTTTGTTAATTTAGTAGGTAGCTTATTGACTTATGTGGTAGAGTCATGCTGTTTTCAAAATGTTTTTGTCTATGAAGCCTCAAGTTCAATTCCCAACTAAGTAAATTATCTTCTATTATGTTTCTGATCTGCAGTGAGTTTTAAATGACATGCAGTTTCATTGAAATAATTGTAAGTGATGGATGATTCCACATAATATTAAAATATGTCAATATTACACTACTGTGATACAATATTTAACGACCTCCATAACTAAGTATCGCCATCTGTGAGGTTCCGAATTCGATTCTTGGTTGGATCAATTGTAGAAATAGATTTTTCTACATTATCTCGGGTGTGGGTGTGGTGGTGCCTTCATTGTATCAGATACTCCATCAATACGAGGTCTTTAGCTACTCATGTTGGAATCTGAGCAATGTATGTTGTTTAATATTTATTTCATTAATAAGGATGCTTAATCATCTGTGTACGTTAATTTCTTTTTATGTCTGTTTCATGGTGCTTTTATAAACAAATGTATGTGATTTTAATTAAAAAGGATATCATCAACTTAAATAAAAAAAAAGTATCTTAGAATAAGTAAGTTAATCAAAACACATTGACACTGCACATAAATAATATTCTGTGTAATATAATAATATTCTATTGTTTGCTTATGTACTTAATTTCAATTGATAAAATTAATTTAAACGGGTTATAATTATAGATACTACTTATGATGACGATAAACAGTAAAAAAGTAATAGTATATAAGCAACAGTTATTGTTACCAAGTCATTATTTAATATTGAGTATTTATGCTAGTCACATTAGCGACATCCATTTGTTACATAGGTACAGTAAAGACGGATTTACATTACGAAGTGCCAAGAAACTAAATATGTACAACATTCTTAATTAGAAATGCTTAAACAATCCAGCAGCCTCAGGTACCCGACACAGGGCTCAAACTCACGACCTTTCGCTATTCGGGCGACTGCTCTAACCAATGACTTGAGACCCAAAAGGACTGACGAGTTTTATTTTTATATTTCTTTCGGCTATTAGGGTGGATTGTCTGAACAATGATAAATATTTACCATTACATCATTGTGAATGAAAAATTGATAATACCTAATTACCTGTATTAAAAATATGTACAAGTTTCACGAAATTAATTGAACACATGTGAAAGTACTTTCGTAATGATGTCATCAACAATTCAGAGAAAATGGCTGCGTTCATAATATAAATTCGGCTTAAATTCCAACTAATATGGCTATTCTAATTGGCCAGGATTTATTCTATTTCGAAATTCAACCTTCTGCGCAGATATAAACGTATTAATATGTGGTATTAAATAATTTATAATTAATTAATTAACAATATTTATATTTTTTTTATAAAATGTTATTAGAAAATTTATACAGTTGTTTTTTGTTCATTTTTAATTTTTAAACATCTTTAAGAATCTTTGTTTTGTGAGATCCCTCTCCCTTTGTATTTCTATGTATTTCTAATTATGTAATAAGGACAATGTGTTATAATGTAATTTTCAGAAAATATCTATATAATAGTCAAATAATATTTGTTATTGCATTTTATTATTTTCCTTATGTCGGCAGATTGTAAACATTTTTATTATTTATAAGATTATAAAAATGCCTATGAATGTATGTATATTTTTATTTTACAATTAAAAACTTTATAGTTTTCTGGAGATATAGGACAACCAGCGGCTAATGTGTACCCAGTCACTGCAAGCTAATTGCATAATATGCAATTATATTCACACAGTTTGGAATTTTTCTTGCTTTTACCGCTCGTAAGGTACGATAGATTCCCGGATTACAGTCGGTCTGTTAATTCTAGTAGGGAGGTAATCCAAATACCTCCGGTCGAAATTCTTCAGCCGAGTCTAGTAAAATAGTGTTGTGCGGTACAAGCGTTCGGTCCAGCTTCGGGTCCGGTATCATCACTACTTGCATACCAGCATCCAGGCCAGCCTTTACACCGTTAACAGAATCCTCCAATACTAAACACTGAAATAAGCATTTTATTCATCGACTTTATTTATGGAGGTCGTGGTGCGATTATGCAAATTAAGCAACTTTTGCAATGGCCGGTAATGGGATGGGTGACCAAAAATATTATCTGCTCAGTGCTTTGGAAAACGGTCCCGACTATACCTGATGAGGTTAGGTATGATAACCGATCCGTATTTTGCCCGCATTGTTTTTTCCGCAGGAAAAATTTGCACCCAACAAGAGTTAACATTAATAGACTGAGCCAAAAGGGCTTTCTTAAATCCATTTTAAGCCTTAATCCGTTAATAATAATGTTCACAATTGACTACAGAAATATGATGATGATGCTCTACCTACAGTAACTTCAAGATGTCTATTCAATTTTTAATATAAAATAACCCTATAAATCTTATAGAACCGTTTACCTGTTCGTAGGCTGGCTTATCTGGAAACTTCGCGGCTGCTACCAAAAAAATATCTGGGTAAGGCTTGCCTCTTTTCACTTCAGGGTCCGAGGAACCCCAAGTCTTGTAAGGGAATAAGTCAAAAAACTGTGAGTGACTACGAGTTTTTAAATTATAAGATTCTAGACTACTACTAGTCGCGAGGCCAATAGGAATGTTGTTGGCAACAAGATGATTGACAAGTTTTTCAATACCTGAAATAGAGACAGTTATAGTGCAGGGAGGTAACGAAGGGTAGTTGCCCCGGGCGCGTGTCAGGGGACGCCATAATCATGATAATATAATACTGTAAAAAAACTAGCGTCACAATATGTCTTTAAAAATAGATTCATATTAATAACAAAAATCTGTGCGGGTGGAGGGATAAGTTTACGGAACTTTAGTCTTATCACCATTGCTATATAAAATACTTACCAGGCAACAGTTTACATTGCGGAAACAATTTTTCAAATAAAATGCGAGATTCAGTAACAAACTCTTCAACGGTCATCGGTAATTCTAATGCTTCTATTATAGACAAAGCTAACTCTTTACTCTGCTGTCCCATAATTTTAACTTTTAAATCATAAGTAAATTTCTTTCCGTACCTAGAAGCGATCTCTTGAAATCCAATCGTATAAAGATCTTCAGTATCTGAAATTTGTAATGATAAATAAAATTGGAAAAGCTAGCTCTGTGATAAGCTTGTTACGGGTTCGGTGCTTGGGTCAATTAATAAGGCTGCTTAGCTTGAGTATATATTTATTAATTAAATAAGGGTAATAAGAAAAAACCCTTGTCGGGCTTCTAGTTAACTTTTGGAACGTCCAAAATACAGATTACAATTTAGAAGTTACATATGTTATATAATTTGTATCACCATATCACATTATTTATCACAATAAATGAATTATTTTAAAATTACATAGTAAAATTTATACCATTAATATTGTATTGTATTATAATTTCATCTTGTGCATAGGAGAATTTCTTACGAACTGACATCCATAAAGAGTATAATTGATTAGTCAAAATTTTAAATTACGAAAGACGAATAATAAAATGAAATGATGTTGAATTTCAAAAACAAAAAGTTTGCATACTGAAACCTAGGAAAACAAACGGTGGCATGGCACACCGTTACAAGCTATCCGAATAACTACCGTTCTACGGTGTTTTACTCAGTCTAAACATACTCATTTACTTATTTAATCTTATTTGCTTATAAAATATCAAACGGCGGACTCAATGCAGAAAATGCATTCTCTATCAGCCAAACCCGTGAAAATGTATAGTAGATAAATTCAAAATTAATTAGATACCATGTTTGTAATCGCCATTTTATGGGAGCCATCTTGGATTAACCATACTGGATAAACACAGTTCATGTAATCAACAAGGGGAAAATTAGAGTTCCATTATTAATTATAATGGAATTAACTAAAATAAATAAAACAGTAGATATAAAATAAAAGAATGGGTAAACTCAAATGATTCGTTTTAAAAATATAGTAAAACAAACTTACTCAATATCAAACCATCCATATCAAATAAAACATGAGTAACAGGTTTATAAGACATTTTAATTTGTAAACGTTACAATTATATTTTTAATCACAGACAATTTTGTACTCAAATATAATGTCACATGAAAATACATCACACGATTTAGGTATTACATAACTGGCAAATCTCCAAGTGTCATGGAAATAGAGGTCGGAGAGATAACATCATATACTTAGTTATGTTATCTTAACAGTTTTATACATATAAGCGCTAGATATTAGTTTATAAATCAATGGAAAGTAATATTATGAACAAAAAGAATAAGAGACGGACACGTTATTGGCTTGTTCCAAAATAATTGTTATGACCTTCAGCTTATTTTTAAATACATAGTTATACAACAGAAATAACCACAGCTTTTGGTAGCGATTCTGTTGCACGAACTAGACTAAAGTTAGTATTTAATCCTGACAACTAGTTTTCCATTCAGAAAACGACTAAAATATCTAATAGAAATGGAAAACCGTTAGGACAACTCCAAATTTAAATTAAATATTTTTATATCAGACTTCAAAAAAATCAACAATTTAACCTGTATGTGATTCCGTTAAATTTCATTTTATTAAACAGACTTAGCCAAAGTTAACCTAGTACGAGGTTCTACGGGAATAATATTGGCCGGTTTTTTATTTCTTTTATACTTTAGAGAGTGGAACAACAGAATTGACACCATTAGCTTAACTATAAATATATACAAAAAGAAAATTATTCCTTCAATAATATTCTTAATGAAAAATGATTCATTTTGTCCCTGGTACTGTGAGATGGGATAATTCCCAGTATAGCATTGTGAAAGCAAAATAGAACAAATATAATAATCCCTTCAATAAACGATCTTTATTTAGTTATAGGCAATATTGATCTTTAACATTTACAATTGACACATATATCACAATTATTTAGCCATAAACTAACTGATTACTTCATTATAAACAATTTACATGATAAGTATGATTTTATAAAAAGCAGACTGACAACAGAACGTTAGATTATACAAAACAATAAAACTACACTTGATAGTCACACTAACACGATGGGTTTACAGTTTAAATTAACTGCGAAAATTTTACATATTCTGGTAACCACAATGCTATGTGTAAAATGCAGTCATTACGAGATTTTACATAGCACACTGAACTTGCTTAAATCTATTATAACACAAACGATTATAACACAATCTTTAAAATAATATAATGAAAAAATAACATGTCAATAATCAATCTAAAAAACTACTTATAAGTAGAAGCTCTGCTTCATTGTGTTAATAGACATTTAAAATGCAACATTTCAGTACCTAGGAGATTATCTCAAGCTAAAAGAAATGCAAAGCCAATTATTAAGTAGAGCACATTCAAGGACGAACCCAGACAATGGGCCCTGGAGTTCAAAACACTCCCCACCTTTCTGACGTCTCCTTGATTTGAAGGCTGGATCCGCCCTTATTAGACGGAGAGATCGTGAAAAAATATGTAAGTTTTCTAAAGCTTGATATTTCAATATATTAAAGCAGGTACTAAGAGTATCACTTAGAACCCAGTTTGGAAGTCAAGTGCTGAAACACCTGATGTCAGCACGTGTTGAATTAGATAGAATAGGACATGGCGTTCATAAGAAAAACTAATACACTATTCAGGCCGTATCCCACGCCTATTAATTACTGCAGGCCTTCCCTATGGATGGATCGAATAGGGAAAATGAACTATGACCCACCACACGGGCCCTGTGCGAATAGGTGGGTGTTAACGTGCCTTCCGGAGCACGGAGGAGTTCGAAACAATAAATATTTAGGTCACCAATCCTATGACTGACCTTTGCGAAAATTGCTTATCGGAGACCGAGGGCGCTATCCACTGCGCCATCGAGCTCCTCAGATATTTTTAACGCATATGAGTTATTGTTATGGTACTCCCATATCGAGCAGAACCGGAAGTGACGCAAATTTCTTAACACCTTTGATTATCCGACACGTAATGAATGTTTATAGTTTATGTGTCCAAATCAATTTATTTTGCATGACACAGGTAATTAAACGTATAGGTTTTTTTATTTTCAGTTTATGTTTGTATCTATATATTACCGGCAGTCATCAATACCAAGGGAATGTGTAGAATAAATACCTGGGGGAATATTTAAAATATTATATTATTGTCTATTATTTGTTACTATACTTTCCTTAGGTAATGTATGTAATCTTTAGGAATTGTATAAAGTACCTACTGTTCCAACCGCAATGTGTAAAATTTGTCTATATTCAACCAGCCTACCTATTTTATATATATTCTTAACCAAAATAACTTTTTTTTTAAACCTCGCATCTTTATCTAATCATCGAAGGGAGGTAATCCAAACAGCTCCGGTCTGAATTCCTCTAAGCTGTTAAGCACCAGGGTCGCCTCCTCTGTCAGTTTTCTGTCTAAGCGAGAATCGGGCACCATTACCACTTGCATTCCAGCAGCTCTCGCCGCTCTCACGCCGTTAACTGCGTCTTCAAATACTAGACACTATGAAATAAAATTTTAAACTTTAAACTTTCATGCTGTCGTTCACTTACTTTACTAAATATGTAGTCATTTCTAGTTTCTCATCATCAGCCTATTAATATCCCACTGCTGGGGCCCAGACTTGCCCTATGGAAGGAATCGAATCTGAAAGGAAGAACGGGTTAAAACTCATCACGCAGGCCCAGTGCGGATTGGTGGGTATTAACGACTGCAGATGCAGCCGGGACCACCGGCTCAACGTGGCTTCCAAAGCACGGGGGAACTCGAGATAAATTTTTGGTATGAAATTTATATTCATGACTATATTTTCTTTTACCTGATTGTATAGTCCACTGATCCTGCACAAAAGGCTAAATTTCTAAGCGAAGCGTAGGTGAAAATTCAATTATCACACCTCCGTAGCCGAGTGGTTCGCACGCCGGTTACAAGGTGTCGCCATCTCTGAGGTCCCGGGTTCGATCCCCGGTCGGGTCAATGTAGAAAATGAACTTTTCTATATTGTGTCGGGTCTGGGTGTTGTGTTACTTTCGTTGTCTCAGATACTCCATAATACGGGGGCTTTGACTACTCATCTTGGAATCTGAACAATGTATGTAATATTGTGTCATATTCATTCATTTATTTATCAAGCGATCCACCAATATTCACGCAACTGACCCCCACAGAGCGTGATTGATGGAGACCAAATGTGTAGTATTTTTCACCTTATGGTAATTATAATCAAATACCTACGAGTTTATGTCTTTCTAATCGATCTGCTCAGCGCAAACTAAGATTGACTAGTATATTATTAGGTTGGAGAAAGTCTTTTCGCATTTGCATAAACTTGTAATATTTTTTTACTGATTATCCCATTTGTATCTGGATGGTTTCGGTATCATTAAAAAGTTTAAATTTTGAAAAGAAAAAAGTTTCTGTGAGAGTAGCACATATTTGCTTTAAGCGTTTTCAGTCCGGAAATTTTAATGTCAAAGATGCACGTCGCTCCGGAAGGTAGTGAAGAACTGGGGTTTAACCACAAAATAGCTTAGGCGTATTTGAAAAAAGCTGAGTACACAAAAAAGTTGGATTTTTGGGTACCATACGAGCTCACTTTAGTCACGTTTCAGCAAACGTTGTCGCTGTCATTTTTACTTGTAATTTTCAGTGAAAAGTATAAGATAAAATGTCTTCCTGCGTGTTTAAACAATGCACAAATTACACATTGACAGTGACAAAAGCAAAAAGATATCATTTCATGCGTAAGTACTGTAATTACTTTTTTTTTAATAAAAATATTGTACCGTTATTGAACGCGGCCACTTTTTCGTGCATGAGGATGCAGCAGTTGACACGTATAGCTATGCGATGCGAGTATGTTTATCTTGTTCTAACAATAGATATGCTGAGGATTTGATAGGGAAATAAATATTTCTTCTCACCTTTTATGGTTACGCTACCACGATTAATATCATTGCGCTACCACCATAAACGCTGTTTTTAAGCGCAATATTTTACGGGTTTAACGTGTCAAATCTAAAGAAAAAGGCAACGTAATTAATTAAAAAGAAGAAGACGTATCAAGATTATACAAGATGGCAAAAAGTTATTGAACAAAATAGTACCTACATATTTATATGGAAATACATATTTTTTTCAAATGTTTTGAATTTTCATATAAAATGCGAAGAAACTTTTTCCCCAACCTATTATAATCAAAGAATTCACTATGCGCTTTATTAGTTAGGCCTAATGGCTAGTTTGCACGTGATTAAGTAACAAGTAGATTTTTAATTTAATTTTAATTCATGAAGATGTGTAAACATACAAATAAGTTAAAATTAAGTTAACTATTTATGAGCTTAATATTTATGAATTCATTTTCAACTTTCTACTTATTACTTATTTGTGTGTTTACATATACATTATTACTTAAAATTAAGTTAAAAATCTACTTATCTACTTCATAACATGTAAACCAGCTATTACTGTACAATTGTGACAAACAATTTATTAGTGGCAATATATGCAGAGAGTCGAAGTGCATCACAGAAGCAACATTTTCACAATGCGGTGTTCATATTTCTTCTACATCATATTTCTATTGTCAGGATCTTATCACAGACAAAACTAACAGATCATGTCACATGTTTTTTTTTAAAGGTCGCGACTACCCACTATTAGTGATAATTTGAATTAATTTTTGGTGAAAATGTAATATCTTAACATTTTTTCATAAATTATAAATAATTTATTGAGGTTGTAACAGCTATCACATAGCTATGTAAACTCGAGATAATTGTGAAGCTACTTTAAAAATTAATGCATTAAAATCAAAGCATTTTAAAGTTTGATTCGTAAATATAGAAATAAATCTAAATGAAATTGTTAGTGTTCACTTTTTTACCTTATGACGAAAAAATATTATTCCATGGTAAATGAAACAAAACGTAACAAACGGTCATTGGATCCGAATCGCATTCGGGTAGTATCAAAATACAATTTAAAAATAAATATCAACCTCGCAATTTTTATCCTGACTTTATTTTAAGATTTAATTTTCTAGTATGAAATAAGTAAAAAATAAGCTACATTTAGAGATACATTACATCACTCAACGCGTTAGTAAATTTTTAGATCAAAATTAGACATGACTCTTTACTTTGTTAATGCAAATAAATAACCACTACAGACTAAAAGAAGAATCATTGGAATATATACCTTACTGGGGCTAGGTTTATCTGGAAACTTAGATGCAGCTACTAAGAATATATCAGGATAAGGCTTTCCCCTTTTTACTTCAGGGTCCGAAGTGCCCAAGGTTTTGTATGGAAACATTGCGAAGAGCTCCTGATGGTGTTTACCTGTTTTTAGATCATAACTCTCTTTGCTAGAACTGGTGGCCAGTCCTATAGGTATATTTTTTTTGTGCAGATGCTCAATAAGTCTTCTTGCACCTGTTAGAAGTAAAAAATATATAAATAATATAATAGGGCTATAAGAATGTCATCCAGTTGCACAAACTTCCATTAAATTGCTATTAAGTTTGAAGTGACATAACTGTTATTTTACAAATTTAGAACATTTATTAGAGCTTAGTTATCATAAATACGGTGTTGCTGGACTGATTCCAAATAATATTGTATTTTATACTTTAATCTATATATATAAAAATGAATCGCAAAATGTGTTGGTAAGCGCATAACTCAACAACGCCTCGACCAATTTGGCCAAATCTTTTTTTAAAATGTTCGTTGAAGTTCAAGGATGGTTTTTACGGCGAGAAAAATTAGAATTATTGCTGGAAAAACCCTAAAAATAGCCCTTTTCTTTTTCCCATACAAATGATTTGTAACTAAAACGTAGTCAATTTGAGCTTTATTGCTATGGTATAAAGTTCATATTAAATTACAAGCACTCACTGTTGTCTAAGCAATGTAGGTGTGTTCCTAACGTCAAAGATCATATCTATCAAAACAATGTGCGTGTGTGCGTTGGAGCACAGAATACATAGTTGGAGGAGTTTAATGTCGCGTTCCGAAACTCGCGTTTCTTTTGTATTAGTTTCGGCACGCGAGATAAAATGCATCAGTTTCCACGTCATTACATGTATTGCCGGAACATTGATGAAAATACGCTCTGTAGTAGCAAAGCTGTTGGGTCCTAGATAGCTCATTGGTTAGAGCAGTCCCTGGATCGCGAATGGGTTCGAGTCCCATTCCGGGGTACAGGTAGATGGATTCTTCCAGCATTTTTCCTTGAGAATGTTTATATATTTTTTTAATTCGAATAGTTTACTTTTATAATGCTGTTGTGTGTAATGTGTTTTTATGATCATAAAAATCTCTTTTTTCTATATTTAATACTATTACTATTAATACATTGCAATAATAATTATGATTCACATGATTAACAATAAAGCGATTACTTACTTTTAAATCCTTATATATGTTTTATTTAATTATTTTTTATTCACAACGCCCTATCACCAGGGTGACGGTTCTGTTCAGGAGAATTTTTTTAAATACGTAGGCCAAGAAACTGCCACATTACAAATCTTTTTGACAGGACGAAGTCTGTCGGGTCAGCTAGTAATAAATAAATATATAATAAATCACTTAGTACCCAGTGCGGAGCTCAGATGCTGGAACACCTGGTAGCGGCGAGCCAAACATAAATTACGAAAAATCGAATTTGTGATGCTAAATCACAGGTCTTCATGATAGATTTAACCAATACATCCAACATTCCGTACTAGGCCCGCGTGTAGATCCCGAATGCGGATTGGTGGTACTGAAGCACAGGTATTCTTATTGAACGAAACCAATTACCAAACTATAGGTATCATTCTTAATTTATGGAACTAAGATAATGAGGTCGGGATTCAAGTTTAAGCACATTTGTGACAATCTTAAAAGACTTGGAAGAGTACCAGTCCCTACGACTATAGGAGAAGTAAAAACGGCTACAGGAGAGCAGTGGCACATTATCCCCCAATCGGATATTCAAGACATCATGGATGGATTGACACTCCGGGTTTTGCCACCAGTGGCCTTATGACATCCAAGAAGTCATAAGGGCCAGTGATGGCAAAACCCAGTATAAATTTTTATTTTATCTTTTAATTGCCCCATTATTTTCAAAACCAAAATTTGAAAATTTTCATTGAAGATTTTAAAATAATCGATTTTTGGTAAGTATCCTTTTATAAAAGACTCTTTTTTTCAATATTCTTTTGTTTCTTTTTCTTTAAGTACAGTTTTTAACATTTATTTTCTAACAAATGGTCTACGTTTGGCAATTTCTACGAAGTGAATGAAATAGAAGGTGGGCGGTTAATCGTGCCTGGTGCCTGTGAATGTTTATAATGTGATAATATTTTCACATACTCATATGACTGTCTTGCAACCGATCCTCGTATTACTTCAGCTTTCCTCAACTGGGGAACAGTTGGTTTCCCTATTTCTATTGAGCTATCGATAGTATATATTATATTATTTTTATGCAAGTAGGTATGTTCACCGATTTCTTCGTGGTTACGTCGTGTAACTAAATAAAAAATTTAAGGCTTTCGTTGTAAATATATTTCTTTTTCTATAGATACTCAATATTTTAGTGATGCATACACAAAATATTTATATAAAGTTCCTAAATAGGGATCATCAATCCGCGCATATGAGTTTGCACAACTGATATCGCTCCTAATTGCAATTTCAAGAGTAACTTGCGACTCTTCATACATTTTACACAATATCGAATTGCATCGCATCGTGCTATGAGTAAAGAGCCTTAGGCTCAACACAATAAGTGCTTTCCTTGTTTGTGGATTCGAGATGTTAAATAATTATTAAACAAACCAACCAAACACATGTCAGAAGTACTCCGGAGTATGAGCTAAGCGAGTGTGATAAAGTGACATCACAGCAGCGAGCAGTGACCTCGCGTCGAGCACCTAAATAAAAAATTGAATATCTGAAAACTATATGTTGGTTATAAATAAATAGACGTATCGAAAAAATATCTGTAACATATTTTTAATGACATTCCTCATTGTGAAACTCCGCAGAAGAGTTGGTGTATGAATAAGCTCTGATTATGAGCTTTGTTATGGTTGGAAGTCAATTTGTTACCAAATTATTAGAAGTTCATTCATAAAAAAAAATACTCGTACTTTCATTTAGATAATGAAGCAAGCATATTCAGCAATCGCTAAAAATTTGGGTGGGTAGCTAAAAGGTCAGACGTTTCAGTGCCTGACCTTCGCACTGGGTACTCAGTGGATGTATACGGACAGTACTTCAATATAGTTAAATATCAAGCTTTAGAAAACTCTTAGACATTTTTGTCAAAAGTTCTCATCTATAAGAATAATGTGTAAACTTTTAATATTATCTCTGACAACTACACTTTTATCTCTGAAGACAACACTATTATCTCTGAGGTCAGTAAAAACAGTTAACCTATTGTTTTTTTATTGTATTTTGTAAAAAGATGATGGTTTCATAGTATGTTTAGGCTCTATACTAAAATAAGTTTTCAAACTGTTCTTACATTGTTAAGTTCTTTAAATAGGCTTGTGACCTACAAGTGAAAATGCAGGTTTCTGTCATATGTTCGGAATATATGAACCATTTTAACTTATAAATATTCAACAAAATATTTTTTTTTACACTATTTGCAAAATAATATGCTTCTACAACTTGGCAAAAATACACATAGCATTAAATTAATAACATAAAATGTCACATCATTCATTATACAACAACAGCTATAAATGCACAAATAACAAAGATATTACAAAGATTTCCCAGACACCTATATGTTTTTTGCTACCATAGCACCATACGACATCACTTAGTGCCTTGAATTGCAGACATACTGTTACTTCTACATCATTTCTCAGATATTAATGGACTATTTATTTATAAAATAAAAAACTTGGCAACTAGCCTATCCTAACTTCTGCATTTAACCCTTAAATTGATATTAAGTGAATACAAAGACTACTTAGTGTAATGGATGCCACAGGTGTGACTTATAAAGTTTGGAACAAAAATTTTCATTATGCCTTTCTCAGTTCAGCAAAGAAACAAAGTAGAGTATCCATATTACTTAAAGTACCTACTGTTGTACCTCAATTTTAGACTTTTATGACCTTCAAAGTGATTCTGTAAACTAACTAAACCTGAATTCAAATTCACTAGAATGTGTCCAAATTCACTTCAAAAGTGAATCCGCTTAACTTATATTAGTATAGAAATTCTATTGATTCCATTTCTTGTATAAAAATACAATACAAGATTGATTTATTGATTCCTGTGTGTCTTAGATATTCTATATCCTTGTCATTTTGAAACTCAGTTCACATATGCCATGTAACATTAATAACAAATCACAGTTAAGTGGATATTGCTTTTACAGGATTGCTCTGCTGGAATCTAATGAAATACTTACTTACAATTTTAAATATTGTAATGGAAAGTTACTTCACAACCGAAGTAGTGCACTATACTGTACTATACTGAAACATTTTGGATAGGTGCACCGAATATCACCTTTTCAAGTACACCAACAGTTAATAATGTTGAATTAAAAAAAATTACATTTGGTGTAGAGGAAGACTTTCTTGAGTTTATCATGCTGGTGATATCAAATTTTATTTAATTGAATCATGACATTATGTTATACCTGGTAAAACTTGAGTGTTTGGGAACAGCGACTGAAACTGACTCTTAGTTTCCTTCATAAATTCTTCTGGGGTCAACGGAAGTTGTAAATGTGTTATAATAGTCTCTGCAGTTTCATGCGATTGTGATCCCATTAATTTTACTTTTAAATCATAAGTATACTCCTTTCCATACCGAGACGTTATATTTTGAAAAGCAATGGTATATAAGTCTTCAGTATCTAAACATAAATAAAACATTATTGATAAATTTTAACTTATTACATCAATTCACAAAAAAGAAACAAAAATACAATTACTCACTGAGAATCAAACCGTCCATATCAAATAATACATGAGTAACAGGATTAAAAGACATGATTAACTCAACCACAAACTAATCGACGAAATAGTTTATTAAAGTTAAACGCACGCAATCAATTTTCCATTCAAAGATTTTAAAATAAACCACAAAATAAACACCACAAACATACATACATACACCACAGATTAGTATTATGTGTGATTATGTGTTGCACAGTTTATTGTTCTGTGAGCACAGACCACAAATTATATATTTTTACAGATAGTGTTAGTGAATCCTATGACGGACAATCATGAGTGCGTTCCAAACGACTAAAAATCATTAACGCACTATTGATATTTTTTTTAACTCGTTAATGAAGAAGCTAATTTATTAACGCATTAATTCAAAGAGGCGTAAGGGTGCGTAAAGACTCTTAAAGATAAAGAAAATTTTCTAGCACGCTAAACCTTGTAACACATTGATTATTTTATGTTGTACGTTAAATAGATTACGTGCAATACTCTTAACTCATTATTATTTAGTCTAAATAGTTCGAAATAAATTATAGCAGTTGTTACCAACCTTGCATCAGCCAACCATCCTTTTTTGTAGCCTTTTTACTTTTTTATTGATTTTGTACGTATTTTTTGTTTTACATGCCAAAAAATATAGTTGTCACTCAGCCCTATCCTGGTTTTCTTATTTTGGTTCCCTAAATTCCAGTTTTTCATCATATATTTTTTATTTAGAGCTATAGTTAACAGCAGTACTTACTAAATTAAAAGAAAATCGATAAACTCCCCCTCATACTTTTCAGGCTTAGGACTGTATATAATTGAACAGTATAATTAGCAAAATTATAAAGGATGTTTGTAGTGATTTCAATAAAAGACTCAACTGTTTGTCCGTCAAGATCAGCGATCTACCTTGTGATTCACTGAAGGCGTAGTGTAATGACTTGAGCCTGCAACCGGCAACAGCAAAGCTTCTGGCGGTGATGGAGTCCCGTGTCCTTCAGTAATGATATTCTTCTGGGACATTTGCTGATCATCACTTTCACCAGATCCCGATCAAAAATTTTTTTTTTATGGGATAGGGGGCAGACGAGCAGACGGATCACCTGATGGTAAGTGATTACCGTCGCCCATGGACGCCTGTAACACCAGAGGGGCTACAAGCGCGCTGCCGGCCTTGGAGGGAGGGTTGAGGGGAGAGGGAAGGGAATAGGGAGGGGTTGGGCCTCCGGTACCCTCACTCACACGACGAAACACAACGCAAGCGTTGCTTCACGTCGGTTTTCTGTGAGGCCGTGGTATCACTCCGGTTGAGCCGGAAACCAAATTTGAATTTTTCATCTCTTGTACAATATTATATATACAACATGCGATCACAATATGAAAAGTACCTCACTGGGACTGGTTATTTACTGTGAAACGTTGCGTCGAGTTTTTCGTTAAAATAAAATTGAATAAAGGCATATTCATCTTAATACAACAAATATTGTTCGAGCCCCACGTCGGGCGCCAATTATAGCGCGAGTCTGATAATGGCTCATGTCGTGAAGAATGGTGAGAAATGAGGAAGTATTTAAAAAAAAAAGCATTATAAAGACGCCATCTAGTGGGATGGCGACTCTAGCAAAAGTTCTTTTTAAATACTTCCTCATTTTTGTCAACAAGATAATACAGTGTTCGTTTTGTGGCGTACACAAACTACATAAATAATAGATTATAAAAAAGGTCAAGAGTGAGTTGTGCCTTTATCCACAGATAATATAGGTATATATTAAATACGAGACGGTATTCGGACTTCTAGTTAGACACGAACGTAGTGCTCACGCCAAGAGTATACGTTCCTTGGTAGTGCTTCACTACTCTTATTCTTGATACTATCTATAACTTTTTTTTATAGGGATAGGGGCAGACGAACATACGGATCACCAGTGGTAAGTGATTACCGTCGCCCATGGACACCTGCAACACCAGAGGGGCTATAAGCGCGCTGCCGGCCTTTGAAGGACGAATATGCTCTACGCTTGAAAGTTGTATCGGTCGTATCGGTCCGGAAATACCGACAAATAAGTTCCAGAGTTTGGCTGTGTGAGGCAGGAAACTTCTAGAAAAACGCACAGTTGAGGACTTCCAACCATCCAAATGATGGGCGTGGATTTCTTGTCGCGTGGAACGATGGCGGAAAGTAGTGGCAGGTATGAGTCCGAACAATTCCTCGGAGCATTCCCCGTAATAGATGTGATAGGAGATGCACAGTGAAGCAACATCTCTACGCAGGGCCAGTGGATCAAGCCGACTTGACGATTCGAGTCGCTCTTCGCTGAATGCGAACTAGAGGGAGAAGCTGGTATTGGGGTGCCCCTGCCCAAAGATGAGAACAGTACTCCATATGGGGCCGAACTTGCGCATTATAAAGCTGCAGACGATGTGCTGGAGTGAAATACTGCCTCGATCTATTAAGCACACCAAGCTTCTTAGATGCTAATTATGCCTTACCCTCTAAGTGACCACGGAGGACCTCTCTCGATATGTAGAATCTCAATATTGGCTGAGGCAATTAAGGGAATGTTTTGAAAGCGAGGTGATACGGCAAATGAGTTTTTTTTGGCGGTGAACGCACAAACCTGTCTTAGTAGGGTTGAAATGGACCAAATTAAGTCGAACCCAGTTAGAGACTTCCTCTTACGAAGAATCAATAACAGACAAGTTGATTCCGGCTCTCAATGACGCTTTCCCGAGAAATACCTGCACGACCATTATAGAAGGAGTCCATCGTGCTGTCATCCACATAACAAAGAATACCGCTAATTTGCAGCATGTCATTAATATGCAGAACAAAAAGTGTAGGCGATAGCACACATCCTTGGGGAACACCAGCATTAATAGACAGTAGGTCTGAGCATTCACCGTTGATTAAAACCTTAATGCTTCTATCTGCCAAAAAACTAGTGACCCATGTATATAATTTCTTGGGAAGCCCATACGAGGGAAGTTTTGATAGAAGAGCTTTATGCCACACTCGATCGAAGGCTTTCGCTATGTCCAAACTTACTGCCAGGACCTCCCCATTTGTTTCAATTGCCTTAGCCCAGTTATGTATCAACTAAACTAGAAGATCGCCAGCAGAGCGACCACTACGAAATCCGTATTGTTAGTCACTAAGCAACTGGCGAATCTCTAGGTACCGAAGGAGCTGGCGGTTGATAATGGATACCATTATCTTTGAAAGCAAAGGGGTTATAGCGATCGGCCTGAAGTTGGACGAGTTCGAGCGGTCACCTTTTTTTGGGATCGGATGCACTAAAGCAGTCTTCCATGAGGTTGGGACGACGCCAGATGAGTAAGAGAACCGGAATAGAAAGAACGCCAGAGTTGGCGCGTTAAGACCGGTGCCAACTCTGGAGCGCACGTCCTTAGCACAATAGGGGGGATACCATCGGGCCCACTCGACTTGTGAATATCCAGGGAGAGTAGCGCTAGACGCACTGCTTTTGTGAAACCAATATCAGGCATAGAGCTCTTGCACCGTGGAATGGTGGGCGGTTTCAGCCCCCGGTCATCCAAAGTTGATTTGGATGCAAAAAAAGTTACCCAGGAGATCGGCTTTCTCTTTTGCATCAGGGGCTAATGAAAATAACTTATCTTTGTACAAGGGTGGAAATGAAGGCGTGCAGAAATTACCTTGAATAGATTTGGCAAGAGACCAGAAAGCACACGTCCCCGAAGGAAGACGTTCAAGCTTCTTGCCAATTCTACTGATGTACTTCGCTTTCGCTCTTGCAATGTCTCTTTTGAAGCATCTGAAGGAAAAGTTGTATTGCTTTTTAAGGGCGCTGGTATTTACATCCCGCGACAATACCGCATTTGCCCAGGCTTGGTACGATTCCCGCTTTCGAAGAGAAGCCTTTCTCAAGGACTGACCAAACCAAGGTTGGAATCGGCCACCAAAAGGGACAACCGAGGATGGAATGAAAGTTTCCATACCCTAAAGCACCACATCAGCATCAGACTCGGCGGCGTTGTTGGGATTATCCGGCGTAAAGCAGATACGTTTCCAAGGGTAGGACGCAAAAAAGGACCGCAACCCATCCCAGTCTGTCGCCTTGTAATGCCACACACGGCGATGTCTTCGGGATGGGAGGTTTGGGCTTGCGTGATCGGTCTTACTAACCAAGCCATTCGGTATGATGAGCGTTAAAATCGCCCAGTATCACGATCTCTGCGAGTGGGATCTGCTGCTGCACAGAGTCTGCAGCCATTTGGACGTGCTTGATGAGTCGGTCAGTTTCGGCATCGCCTTCATGGGACCTATAGAGGCACGAAAAGACGCGGGGGCGGTCGTCGCTGTCTACCCGAAGCCATAGGATGGACTGGTCCCTACTTTCAAGGTAAGGTACACACATACACCGGCGGTGTGCTCCAGTCCGTACCCAGGGTAGGACAGGTAAGAAGTGTCCACCGGAGACGATAACTGCGTCTCGGTCAAAAAGAGTAAGCCTGGCTTTGCTGTTTCCTGTATGAGCGCGGACCAGAATACGAGGGACGTCCACGCCCAGGTATATTGAACCCTGGAAGTGAACGTCCAGGGAGGGATTCCCCAATGCTAGCGCAATTGGAACCCTCCTGGGGTAATAAATTGCTTCTATTCAACTACGCCATCATAGGGAGGGATGGGCGGGTTGGGTCTCCGGTACCCTCACTCACAACGCAAGCGTTGCTTCTCGTCGGTTTTCTGTGAGGCCGTGGTATCACTCCGGTCGAGCCGGTCCATTCATGCCGAAGCGTGGCTCTCCGACAGTCAGAACTTACGGTAACTTACGGTGGCGCCATCTACTTTAGCTTCTACTTATCATCCCCATTGTTATATCAAAACATAAATCATTATTTCTCGCCCACTTTGTTTGTTCTTCAGTCGATTAATAATGCCTCAGTAGTTAAATTACTAACTAAATTTTTCAGTGTTAATCAACTAAAACTTTACCGTCAGTGGTGATATCTTTCGTTCATTTAATTAATTTAATAATGGTCTGTGGTAAGACTCAAAATGATTATGATTAAATGATTGTTTATATAAAATTATTCCTTAAATAAAAAAATCGTTTAACGTGTTGTTTTTGGTAAATCCGTGTAGAAATATAGAATTGGTAATTCAAAATTGTTTGGTTGAATGAATGTATTTAAATAGTGTAATGGTCTCCTACGTGAAATTGGCAGTATTGTGGTAAAGCAAAGTGTCATTAAAGTTAAGAAGAAGAAGAACATATACTTTACTTTTTGTAGACTAGAAACATGACATTGGCGGAATTGTGTAAACACAAATAGTCCATAAATTAAAAAAGAAGAAGAAGAAGAGTTTTTGGACTTGTGTAAATTATTTGTTTACAATTATT